AAAAGAAAAGCGGAAAATATATATATAAAACTAAATATATAAATATTTAAAGGTTATTTAATTATATTACGTAACTAATAAGAGTAAAATTCTTATTATAATATTAAAGAAAATAAAATCTCAAGTAATAATTCGGGTTTATTTAAATATTATTTAATAGTTATTATATTTAATAATTTTATTTTATATTAAAAAAATATAAAAAAAGATTTTTATAATTATTATTAAAAATATAATATTTATTATAAGTTTATTATTATATAAAAATCTGGTTAAAAGTCTCAATTTTAATATAATTCTTATAATTATTAATTAGTACTTTAAAATAATAAAATATATTATATATTACAAAATAATTAATTCTCTAAAGTTTATTAAAATTATATAAGAATATGTTTTCTCGATTTTTGACTTTCTTAATAAACTTATTTTTAATTAAAAAATAATATTTAAATATAGCTTTTTATTTTTAGATATATAAGTAAATATAAAAGTAAAACTAGAACTTAAAATATTACTTGAAATATTATTATAATATTTAAAAGAATAACTAGTTTGAAAAGCTATTTTTGCGAAATTTATATATAATAACTTAAAATATTAGAGTTTATAAAATATATCTTTTTATATATATTATAAATATTACTTTTAATTTCTATAAAATTTTAAGAATAAGATTATAAAAAAAGTATTAATTATATATAAAAAGCTAGAAATCCTTAAAGTAAAATAAAGAAAGCTTAAGAATTTATAATATTATATATAAAATAACTAGAAAACTTATTATAATAAGTATTAATTAATTAAATATTATTTTAAAAAAGCCTAAATAATATTATTAATAAGAAATATTAAATTTAAAATAAGAAAACTCAATTTAAAATTTATAAGTTTATTTAAAATTCTTAAATATATTAATAATTTAATATATAATTATCTATATTTAACTTTTTATATTTCTTTTCTTAAGAAAGATATAATAAAAAAGAATTAAAAGCTATATTTATATTTCTTTAAAAAAACTTCCGGAATTAGTAAATAAAAATAAAATAAAAATAAGAAATAAAAGTTATTATTAATTATTAATAAGATAATAAAAGCAAGAAGTACTAGTATTTAATTAAATAAAAAGCTTAGCTAGAAAATAATAATATTTAACTATTTGCTTTTTTCAATTTTAAGAATTTTAAAAATCTCTTAAAATTATATAATAAAAACTATAATTTAAAATCTGAAATTATTTTTCAATAATTTCTTAAAATTAAAAAAAAATCTAAATTATTAAGAAAAAGGCTATTTAAAAAAAGAGAAAACCTAAATAATTAAGAAAAGGCTAGAAATAATAATTAAAATATTCTTTTTCGGGGTTTTTTATTTATAAAAGTTTTTAAGGTTTTATTAAAGCTTATAAAAATTATATTTAAATATTAAAAAATATTTAAAATTAAGAAAAGTTTATTATAAGTAAACTAGTTATAAGCATTTTAATTAAATAAAACTTTAAGTCTTATAAATTTTAATTTCTAAAGTAAAAATACTAAATACTAGCTTTATTTAAGACTTAATAAAGAAATTAAGAAAAGTATAAAAAGAACTTATAATAGCTATATATATCGAGTAAAAGGCTTAAACTTTTAAAATTAAATTTTAAATAATTATAATTATTAAATTTTTATTACCTGAAATACTAAAGTTAAATTATTTAATAATTTTAATAATTTTAATAAAAATAAGATTAATATCTTAATATCTTAATATAAATATTAAGATATTCTTTTAAGGAATTAATAAATATTTAAATGTATTAAGAAAACTTATTTTTAAAATATTAGCTCAAGTTATATTCTTATTAGTATTTTTTAAAATGTAAGAAAGAATTTTAAATCTTATTAAACTTTTTCTAGTTTTCAAAGATCTAATTAATAATATTATTTAGAATATATTTCGAGAAATTTCTTAAAGATTATAATAATATTTTCCTAAAACTAATAAGCTTTTAAAAAATTATAAGAAATCTGAAATTGTATTTTCTTAAATAAATATTAAAGCTAAATGTGAGGTGTTTGTTGGTAGGTAATAAGACAATAGAATGAATTAGTGAGTTGTGAAACCACAGTATTAAATTCAGTACAGAACTAATCTCTGTCCCTCTTGTGAGGTCCAGGGAAGCCCCCTCTAAATAGGAGGACCCGATAACGTACATATAATTAGTGATTTATAAGCCTAATGCTTATGATGTAAATAGTGGTTGGTTGTGAAGTCGAAGGGCCTCCGATCTCCCTAATCGACACCCGCGATATCCGAGGTTCGTCACATGCTCTTAAGTCACGTGCGACCCTGCACACATCACACTAAAGAACTTATTAAAGTATAAGATTTAAAACCCTTATTATAATAATTATAATTCTTTTTATTAAAAGCTATTATATATAAAATAAAAGAATTAATAAATAAATACTTAAAGCATTTCAAGTATTTATTAGTAATTAAAAAGAAAGCTATAAAGTTACTTTTATACTTGAAATATTAGTAAATAATAAAGCTAAATATTATAAAATTAATTAGAATTAATTAAAAAAGACTTAAAGAAACAAAAAAAAAGCTAGAAAATAATAATAAAAATAGTTATTATATATATAATTACTAGAAAAGAAAAAAGTATATAGTAATATAAAAAGGTTCTTAAATATTAGTAAAGAATTACCTGAATTAATTATTTAGATTTTATATTAGTTTTAATTAGAAACTAGTATAATTAATTAATATATGCTTTTAAGAGCTTATAAATAATTTTTAAAACCTTAAAAATATTTATATAAGTTTCTTATATAAATATTTTATTAAATTCTTTTTATAAAGCTATTTAGATTATTCTAATATAATATTAATTTCGTAAAGTAATGCCTTAATACTTTAAGCCTAGCTAATTAAAATACTTAGTTTTCAAATAAAATCGCGATTATAAATTAGCTCTTATATTTAGAATGTAATTATTAATTCTTTTTACTTATTTAGCTTTAATCTAATTAAATAGTTCTTATATTTATTACTTAAATTATAATAGCGAAATTACTTTCTAAAATACTAGAAGTTTGCTTTAATTAAATAATTAATTAATTAATTATTTTAGTAGAATAAATTAATGAGTTTTAAAAACAAGATTTTAGAAAAGAAATATAATTATAATATATATAGAGTTATATATAACCAAATTATATATTATAAACCTCAGGTATTATAAGTATTAATTAAAGAAATTAATAACTTTTATATATTATTATTATCCGTTCCGCTGCCGCCAGCTTTACATGGTCCGTGCATAGCTAAGCGAAAACCAATGAAATGCCGTGTTTTAAAACTTTAGGGGACGTCTCCCTGAAATTTAGTGATCTGTGCCCTGAACTTTAGCGATATGGTCGCTAAAATATAGTGAGCTTCAGTTGTAAATTTTGGTGTTCCTTGCTTAGTAATATGCACGGACCATGTAAAGCTGGCGGCAGCGGAACGGATATTATAGGCTTTAGGCTTATAAATTTCTAATTATATATATATATATTATTAGGGCTATTTATTTAGAGGAGGCTTCTCTGAACCTTATAAGAAAAACAAATTTTAGTTCTATACTAAATTTAATACTATAATTTTACAACTCACTAATTCATTCTATTATCTTATTACTTATTAATAAACACCTTACAGTTTCTTAAAGCTCTCTCAAGCTTTAAAAATCCTTTATAATCTAAGAAAAAAAAATTAATTATTATTTTTTAGATTATTTAGTAAAGAGTAAACGTTTGTAATTCCGGTATATTCTTCCCAAAGAACTCTCCATTCATAATCCCATAAATATAAGTAACCCCGATAAGCCGGTAGGGGCCACTCGTTTGTGTTGTAGTTGATATTTCCTCCGTATCCAGGCGCCTTAGAACACATGGCATACATACTCCAGGAATTACGACAACAACGTCGCCCGACATATCTTTGTCTTTCCAAGTGAGACCCACAACTCCAGAATCCACCTGATATGGTCTCGATCCACTTTCCAAGTTATACTGAATGCGTTTTACACCATTCACCAGGTCTGGATCTTGTTTCCGAGAGCTATCACTGCTCAAATCCAGCATGAGTGATTTCAAAGACTTTGCCGATTTGAGCGCTGTGTAAATGTGAAGATATGGGTTTGAAAATAACGAGAATACCGGTTGTGGTCCGCCTGCAGCAGAAAGCAGCTCTGCAATAGCAGATTCAGCAGTATTATATCCACTCTTGGGTTTTCTGTCACTACTTTCCTTCCCATTCATAGGGAAGATAGCGGCTTCAACCTGGTTCAGCCAGTCGCTAAATGTAGGATTATCTGATTCAACATCCAGGGATTCAAGTGCAGTGACCGGACATGCATCACAAATTCTTGTTATCTTTCCAACAACGTATCCATCTAAGGTGACGTGATCGGAATCCTGTGGAATAGCTTTCAGAGTCGACGATCGCTGAGAGTGGCGGTTATCAGCGCGATATATGCGACCTAGATCCGCATCGAAACCAGTAGACCAGTCTGGAACCCATGAAGGCAGCTGTGAACATTTGTCCTGCAAACTGGCCGAAAGAAGAACTCCGAGACACCCTTCGCGCAATAAAGCGCAAGCAATCTCTTTAAATATCAGATGCAGATCCTTCGAATAATTAGGCACAATACCCAATTGGTCCCTATCTGTCGCAATCCCAAGAGGCGCATATATCCTGTCTCGTGGCTGAGTTGCATTCAACGTAGTCAGTTTCACCAACATCTCGTGTAGTGTCCCTGGACGAATATAGTAGGGAGCATCAGAGGGAAAGTTGCCATGGAATCTGAACGTTTGGACGGAATTGACCATCGACAAACAGTGTGAGCCGAGCGGCTCACTGTGAATTTCCCCACCCATAGCCTGCCATGCGAGTAAAAGTGATATAGGGCGATCAATATCCCTTGCTGTGGAGTCACCGCACAGGAAATATTTATCTCGCGCACATGCCATCTCCTGAAATATCCATATCCTGGACCAGTATAGGCGGGCGCATATATTCGCAATAGCATTCCAACGGCTTGAGTCTCTGGCAAGTTGCAGAACGCTTTTCTTAATGACACTTGGTGGAGGTCCTCCCTCGATAGCCATTTGTATACTCCAAAACAAATGAGACGTCTTTCTACCAAGCTCAACTAGGGTTTCCAGTGCCAACTTGGAGTCTTCAGAGGGTGGTCCAAGCCAGGAGATCGTCGCCCGGGCCCGAGAGTATATCGCAGCCATCTGCTGTACTTGCCACCACTTCTCCTCATTATCGCTCTGGTTGATGCACAGGGCATCGGCCCATATGACCCGGAACTTGGTGTTCTTTCGAATGGAATGCAACGCAGCGTGGAGATTTTCTCCGATCTTGGCTGCCGTTCCATTGATTTCAAGATCACAAACAGCCGCCGGATCGCCCCATACGTATGATAATGCATAGAACTCCCTTGAATATGGCCGGTCCTTGAGAAACGAACGTACCAAAGCGTTGCGAAGTTTATTTACTTCATATGCGGTATAGTTGCTAAGTGCAACTTTGTAGAGATCGAGTGAGGTAGTGATTAGTTCGCATTTCAGAGGTAAATCTGCTGTATTTGACAGGTTGGCGGTATTGCCCACGTCGTTTAATATAACGAGACGGATTTCTCGTCTACTTCGGTCGAGTGGCTGATACGGAACATTTAACATTTTGCTGATCCAATGATGTATGAGTGGATTCTATCGAGAAGTTATGGGTCGGCAACGTTAAGATGGTGTATTCCCAGCTAGCAGAATCATCAAAAAGTTTTCAAGCAGCATTGCCGCGGGAAGGAGAAGGGATACCGCAGTGACTCATAGTAGAGGGTCATGTGCTTCTCGATACGTGGTACCAGTGAAGAGAAATCTTCTTGTTGCCGCCTGAGGCCAAAAATAGTAAAATTGGCTGTACTTCTGGTTGACCACAACGACCAAAAGGACCAAAAGGGTCAGTAGCGCATTTCGCCTTATTTCTAAGGCATTTACTACATATTTCGTCAACTTTACCAAATAACTACATAAATCACAGTTTTATATAACTCACTATAGCTTAATCTAAGTTATTTATACTTCCATTTTAGTTACTAATAGTCTCAAATATCTTTAAAATAAGCTCTTAATTACCTAACCCTCTTCTTTAACTTATAAATACCCTTTTTATTATATATTTTCTCTTTATATATTTTATATATTTTATATCTTTTATATATTATTCAAGCTCTAAAAATAAATGAAATAATAACTTAATAATAGTAAGTTTAATAAGATCTAGTAATTTAAACTTGTTTTAATAACTATAATAATATATATTATTTCCTTTATATAAAAAGTAATAAATTATAATTATTTATTATTACTAGTAATTTTTAATAATAAAATATCTTTAATTTTACTAATTTTATTTCCTTAAATATTGAAATTAAGGGTTCTTATATTTCTAGTATCTTTAATATTTTACTTTTTCTTGAGATTATTAATATAATTTTAATTTAATAAATATGAGTTAGTTTTTTATACTTTATATAATTTATATTAAATAATATAATAATTAAGTTAATATTTATATTTCTTATATTATCTATTAAAATAATTAAGGCATTTTTAAGAAATATTTAAGGATTTCTAGAAAAAAGTAATATAAAATATAAAATAGTTATATTTATTATAATTATATAATTTCGTATAATACAAGAAATATTAATAATAATAAAAAGAGAGAAATAATAAGAAATAACTTAAATTCTTTTAAATTATATAAATAATTAAATTTTAAAGCCTAAATATTACTTTAGCCAAAATATTCTTTTTATTATATTATATAATTACTTAGCTTTTATATAATATTTAATAACTTATATTAAGCTTTTAATATTTGCCTTCTTTTAATTTTATTTATAATTATAATTTATTTTATATAAAGTATTTAAAAACTAAAAAAAGGAAGTTTAATTAGTTTTAAAGTATTATATAATAAGTATAAAATCTTTTAGTATTAAATTAAATTAAGAAGCCTTATTTCTTTTTCAAATTCTTTTTTCCCTTTTCTAAATTCTTAAACTTAACTTATTTTTCTAATTCTTTTATTATATAATATATTTTAAGTAAGTAAAATAACTTTCTTTATTTCTTTTATAATTAGAGCTTAATTTTTACTTTCTTGGCCTTTATAATTCTTTTTAATATAAGTATAATTTTCTTTAATTTACTTCTTAGCTTATTTTCTTAATTAAATATTTCTAGATTCAAAAAAAATTATATTTGCTTTTATATATAATTATTTAAGCTTTTCTTTTCTTTAAAAATATAACTTATTAAGTTCTAAATTATGTCTTTTTCTTTTATAAAGTTCTTAAACTCTTAAAGCTTAATAAGAAATATATTTTTATATTTAAAAATTAAAAATTATTAATTTATATATTAATATATAATTTTTAGGAAATTAGAAAATATAAATTAAAGAAAAAGAAAAAGAAAAAGAAAAAGAACTTTTTTTAATAAAACTAAGACTTAGTTAAAAGAAGTATTAATATAATAGCTAGTATTATATAAGTATTATAAGTTAGTTTTAGCTAAGGTATTAAGCTAAGATTTAAACCAAGCTTAGTATTTTAATAGTTTTAATTATATTTATTTATTTACTACTATATTTTACTTCTTTTCTTTTTAGCTTTAGATTTTATAAGATACTAAAATCTTAGAGCTTTAAGCCTTATTTTATTACTTTATTCTTATTATTATAATTAATATATAAATTGAGTAAATATTATATAATATATTACTAGTTTTAAGAAAGACTAAAAGATCTTTACTTTTATAATAAGCTTAACTTTTATATACTTAGCTTTAATTACTTTAGTAAACTAGAAATAAACTTTAATTAAAAATAAAGAAATAGCTTAATAAAAGAACTTATTTCTTGGGTTACTTAATTATATAATAAAATATAGCTTTGTAAATTCAGGTATTTCTCTTTTTAATAGCTTTTAATTAAGGAAAAGTAAACTTTATTAAAGAAAGAATTAGAAAAAAAAGCAAGAAAAATAGATTTTTTCTTTATTATATAATACTTTAAATAACTTAAATAATATTAAAATAGTTTTATATTTCTTTTAATATTATTAAAAGCTTTTTTTAAATAAAGTTATTATTTTTTATAAATATTATTTTAAATTAATATAATTAAATAAAATAAAAAATCTCTTATTATATAAACTTTTCTAAAAGAAAGCTTTTTTAAATCTTATAAAAAAAGTTATTTCTATTTCTAAGCTATAATTATTCAAGTCTTATATTTTCCAGTTTAAAGAACTAGCTTCTTTATATATTTAGTTATATTTCTTTCTTAAAATACTAGTTATAAACTTATTAATAATAAAGGCTTATATTAAGTTATTATTCTAATATTTAAGTTTTAAAAAGTTTGTTTTAAAGACCTTATATTTAATATTATTTCCTAAAATAATATAAGTATTATATAATTAATAAAAAAAGAATATATATATATATATATATTGAAAATATAAAATTAAGAAGATATAAAAAGAATTAAACTCTTTATTAAATAACTAGATATAATTCTTTTAAACTTTAAAAAAAGCTAATTATATAATTTCTTTTTAAAACTTAAACTTGAATTTATTTATTTAAAATAATAAATAATAAGAGAAAGTAAAGAAATTAATTTTTCCTAATACTAGTTATAATTATTATATAAGAAACAATTCTTAGCTTATATAATTAAATAATAAATATAAGAAAAAATAAGCCTAAATTACTTGCTTTTGAAAGTTTTAACTTTAATTTAATTTAATAGCTTATATATTATATAATAAAAGAATAAGAAATTTAGCTTTCTTTTTTCTTTTTACTGAATTAGAAAAGCTTTTTATTTAAGCTTAGTTCGGGCTTAATAAAACTAAGTAAAAAGCTTTATAAATAATAAAAAAAGAAAAGAAGAAGTTATATAATAAAAGTTATTATTAAAGAATACTAGATTATTATTTAAAATATTAATAATAATTTCTTTTATATCTTAAAATATAAAGAAAAATATTATAAGATTAATTAAAAAAATACTTTAATATAAAAGTTTTAAATTAAGTAAATTAAGTAAATTAAATAAATAATAAAGAAAAATATATAAGAAAACTAAAATATATATATAAGAACCCGAGAATTCAGAATATTATAAATATAAGAAAAGAAAGAGAAAAAGAGAAAGCTATATATAAAAGGAAATATATAATTGAAAATATATAACTAGCTATATAACTATTTTTTAATTTCCTATTATAATAAGAGATTTTTATATTATATTACTTATATTTAAATTAGCTAAACTTATTAAAAATATTCTTATATATAAAGTATTAAAAAAGAAAATTAAGGAAAATATTTTTGGGAAATATTTTAAAATAAAGAAAGAAAAAAGATATAATTATAAATATATTATATAATAAAGTCTTTAAATAATAAATAAAAACTTATTTCTTTTTTTAAGCTTTATATTTTAATAATTTTCTTTTATTTAATTACTTCTTATTTTATTTCTCTTTATTTAATTTACTTAAAAAAATTTTTACTAATATTTACTTCTTTAATTTCTCTTTATTAAAATTATATAATTTTTATAAACTTTTAATTATTTGAAATTAATTACTTAAAACAAGATTTATTATATTATATTTACTTAATATTAATATTAATTTTTGAAATAAGTTCTAGCTATAAGCTTAAGTTTTTACTAATAATATAATATTATATTATAAGTTAAAAGTAATAATATATTTTAATATAAAATATAAAATAATTTAATTTATTAGTTTCTTTTATAAAGCTTAAAGAATTAATTCTAATATTTATAAATTATAAATTATATTATATTAAAGTATTATATAATAAATATTTATTAAAATTTATAATTAATAATTTTAATATATAAAAATATATTTAATATTTAGCTAATTAAAAAGCTTTAAAGCTAAAAAAAGAAAAAAAGAAACTAATAATAAAAGATATTAAGACTTAATTTATTTATTTAAATAAGAATTATACAAGTTCTTAAATTATAAAAATAACTTATTTTAATTAATATAATTTTATTTTAATTTAGCTAAAAGCTTCTTATTTATTAGAAGCTTATATTATTTAATAATTATATACTTATTATATAATATTTCTTTTTATAATCTTTTTAAATCTAATTATAATTTTATATATAATTTTATATATAATTTTATATATTTATATATAATATTATAATATATTATATAATAAATATATAAATAATAAGTATAGTAATTTGATTTATAAAAATATTATTAAAGTTTCTAGCTATTATAAGGGCTTGAAAAAGTCTTATATTAAATTAATTAAAGTAAAAGAATTATATAATAAAATATAAATCTAAATATATTAATAATATAACTAAGATTTCTTAAATTATTTTTACTAATAACTTAATTCTTTAATTCTTTATATTAGTTTTAAAGTAATAAACTTTCTTAAAGAAAAGAATTAGTATTCTTTTATAAAAGAAATTATATTAGATTTTATTAGTATAGCTATTTCTTTGAAAATTATATATATAATTATAAGACTCGAGAAACGGAATATAGGTAATAAAATATAATTATATAACCTTATATTATATAAATAACTTAATTAATAGATTAGACTTTATTAAGCTTAGCAGATTTAGGAATTATATATTAATTCTATAATATTATAATTCTTACTTCTAAATATAAACTATTTTACTAATTTAATATACTAGTATTTTATATATATTATATAATAGTATTATATATTTCTAGTAAACTAATAGACTCTAATAATAAAAAATAATAAACTTCTTTTCTTTTATTAAAAGAAACTACTTAAAAGTAATAAATAAGCTTTCTAAATACTTAAAGAAACTAGCTAAATATATTATATATTATATAATATTAATAATAATACAAATTTAAAAGTCTTATAATATTAGCTTATTATATTAATTAAGAAATTATCTTTAATTTAAACTTTTAATTATTATTTTATATTTTTTATATTATATATTATTTATATAATACTTATAATTCTTATTATTTAAGCTATTAATAATATTATAAATTATTTTATAAGAAGTAATAATTTTAATTTCCTTATAATCTAGCTTCTTTTATATAATATTTATAAGCTATTAATACTTTTAATTCTTTTCCTTTAATATTATTCTCTAAATAAAACTGAAGTCTAGTTTATATTATATTAGTTATTAATTATAGAAAAATATTTCCTTAATTAAAAATATTTAGAGAATTATATTATTATTATAATTACTTATAAATAACTTAAAAATATATAATTTAATTCTCTTAATTTCAAGAATTTTTTTTAATTATATAATATATTCTAATTAGAAAAAGCTTATTTGAATGTTTTTAGATTATATTCAATTCGTAAAATTCTTATTATTTTATTTAAAATCTTAGAAATTATATATTTCTTAAAAATATAACTAAGAATCTTATTTTTATAAGGCTTAAAATTAATCTTTAAAGTTATTTTAAATATTATATTATATATATAATATATTAGAAGTAAGATAATAGAACTAAATTATAATAAAAAATAAAAAACTAATATTATAAAAATTAGTACTAATTCTTTTAATTATTAAAGTTATTTATAATATTAGTAATTAAGTATATTTTAGTAAAATCTTAGTAAAAGGCAAGTTTTTTAAAACTAGTAAAGTTTATTTAGCTAGTTTTTCTTATTATTCTTAATTTTGAGCTTAAAAAACCTTACACTTTGCTTTAAATCTTAATTTTTTAATTTTTTATTAAGTAATAATATAATTAGAGATTTAAGATTAAAATAGTAACTTAAAAATCTTTAATATTAATTTATTTTGAATCTTTTCCTTATATCTATAATAACTTAATTACTATTTTTTAAATCTAATAAATTATTAATAGCTAGCCTTATACTTTTAATTTTCGAATATATTATTAAATAATTACTTTTTATTTTACTAATAAATATTATCTTAACTTTATATTTAATGCTTTAGTTTTACTTTATTAATTCGATCTCAAAGGGTTTCATATATAATTTCAAACTTTCTCGCACATTTTCAAATGAATTTAGCCTTTTTATAATCGAGATAATTATTATATATTATTTGTAATTATATATTCTTTAAAAACTTATTAGAATTATTCGCGAATTCGATATAGTGATTTTTCTTTACAAATATATTAAGAGGCCAAAAGAGCTTTAGAAAATAGTTAATTTAATAGTAGAATATTATGTAGTTATTAAATTATGATTTTTGGAAAGTAGCGATTTTGGGCGGTTGGGTGGTCTGGGCGGTTGGCCACTAAACCCTTCTAACCTCGTAAGGCCCTGTTTCGCAACTTTTGAATGCTAGCATTTGGTCAGCAATCGAACACTAGCTTTTGATTATTACGAATTCGAGTGTTTCGTAAATTTTTGTATGCTAGCAACCAAACACTGGTATTTGATTACCAGTATTTGCTCCAATACAAATCGCAGTTTTTTCAGAACCACCTACTATAGGTGGTTCTGAAAAAACTGAGCGTTCGAAGCTCGGCCTTAGGCAACTATATATACCTTAAACCCTACTTTTAGGAGGTTTCCATTATACACTTCCATTTAATTATTAATTATGCCATCCCTTAATGCAACGAGATTGTTCTGGGACAAGTTTAATACTGAATTCGAGCTAATTAAGGCATAATATTTTAATTATTATATAAATATTGCGCTTTTCGTACAATTTTTATTATGAATTCTTTCTTAGTAGGAAAGCTATAATAAAGCAATCAATTAATTAATTACTTTCGCCTTAGGAAAGAAATAATTATTAGGCTCTAATACCCTATAATTATAGGAAGCAATCACTAAAGAAAAGTAAGCCTTGAGATTTAAGATCACCGGAGATTATTCTGAAACTTCCGTAATTGCGATAGTTATCGAGTTATTGCATTTTGCGAAACACTTCTAATTATACAAATACTGACTTTGAATACTGAGTATTAAACGCTAGCAATCAAAAGACGTGCGTCCGTGCGAAACAGGGCCTAAGCCTCGACAGCACATTTCACTTCACTGACTCACTTCACTTCATGGCATTCTAACGATAATATAGATTAACCAAGAAAGACTCACCTTCAACAACCGAGCCGAAATACTTACACACCTACTACCAACAGAGGTCAAGATCTGTTTAGTGGAGCTGGAGTCGCGTGACCGCGCAGAACGTTTTGGAGATTGCAACAGCGGCTTTGTGCGTTGCTTGCAGACGACCACAGAGCTTGCACAACAAAGCAGGAGAAGGGATTGATATTTGCGACAAGGATAGGGTCAGTACTGGTACTTGTCCGTTCTTATTTATGCCAGTCTCTGCTCAAGGCTGTTGCTAATCGCCATCAAGGAGCGCCGATCTTTTTGGAAATCTTTCGTTTATATCAGAGTCTTTCTCACGGCAGCCCTTACGGGGAGAGGCGATTGGATCATTCTGCGTGCCTTTGCCCGAGTCTAGAGCCGGCTGCGGAAAGACTGCAGGATAGCTTGCAGCAGAGATAATATAGCCATAAATGAGTATCAAAATGTACAAGGCAGCATGCCATGACACGTATCTATGCAGCCATTCCAGTCGGTTTGTCGAGGACCATAGCTGATTCTTATCCAGACGAATGGCTGAGGCGAGCCTCATTGACGATTTGATTCATAATTCTCTCACCGCTGTTACCGCATGAGCGTTTCTCTGAAGTTCGTTGGTCCGCGGTGCAACTAAATGTGTAGGGTGAGAGCATTTCTGAGCCGCAAGCCTCACCGAACGGCTGAGAAAAATGTAAAACGACCCCCCCGCCGGGGTATCGATTGGGGGCCGGACTAACCTAAAGTAGAAAGGAACACCAAAAAATCTGGTTTTCCTTTAAGTTTAATTTACTGTATAAAGAATTATTATAATTTAATTGTTTTTTTATATTATAGAAAGCCAGATTATAAGCTAATAGGATATGAAGTTTTTATTATATAATAATTAGTAGATTTAAGAGTATTTGAAGAAGGTAAGGAAAGTCAGAATTTTTAAGGCACTATGAGAGCTTGAAAATTTAGTAATCAAGCGCTTGGAACTAATTTACCTCGTACGCAATAATTGCCTCGCCTGTTCCACGACCTAAATTAGAGCTCTTATATACAAACTTCCTTATACCTATATTAGGAAATCTGATTCGAGACAAGGACTTAAGTAAGTACAAGCAACTAATTAGGTATTATTAAAACTCCAAAATCGATTAATACGTCTAATCGACCTCCGGGGGGGGGCTGTCGTTTTACATTTTCCCGGCGGCTGGGGGATGATCCATCGGCAGCTGAACGACCGCATGGGGCCAATGACTGAACATTAAACGTCGCGAACCGCCTTTCCTCTTCCAATAGGACTTATCGATCACATATCATTTTTGAGTTCACTATACTGATTTCTCTCATTCTTTTGGAACGCCGTACAGCATTACTCTGAGTCGCCTCGTCACTTTCCTCCAATAATTCACGGTTCCAGAGACCTCGCTGCTCCTGATGTCTTCGAGCGAGCCATCAACCATCCGCCATCATGCAATCTCGCCCTTTTATCTTTGCAGATGATGAATCTCCTGCACTCCTCAGCCTCAGATTTCTCGATTCGCCACCTTGCAAGCCATTACACCGCATACCAATTAGGAGTTGTAATATCAGGTCTCTACCGTTGGTAACACGTGATCCGCTCGTCACCACAAAGGTTGCGCTGTTTGAACTGAGAACTGCTTCAACTATATATCAACACATCTTGTTGTCAATCTAATCCTTGGCCCGAAGACATTCTTCTCGGTTGCATATCTAAACACCAACACCAGACAATACATCGAAAAGAAATATGGCGGAAGCTCAAGCCTTGCCTTATATCATCAACCACGTCTTCCTCCCCCCAAAGTTACCTCAGGAAGACGATAGCGGAGTCGACAAGGATTCTGCACTGATACTGGAATGTGAGGCAGCTTTGAAATCGTTTCAAGCTCACCTCCCATCCCACGAGTGTCGAAGATGGGCTGCTTGCACCAGGATGCTGAGGAAGATGCTCGAGCTGAGGGACCCATCTGGAGACATGATACCTGGAAAAGTAGAAGCAACACTGGAATCGATGGCTGATCAAGGTATTTGCAGTAGAGCTCGAGAGAATTTCCACTCACCTAATAATTTACCAGATGTTCTCGCTGTTCATATTCGTGGTCAGAATGCAGGCCTCGTGGTCCGAAAATTGGGGGAGCAATTTTCCTTCGAGTCCTTCGAACTGTCTCCAACGACCCAGGCTGTCATGGCGACGAAAGGGCGGCTCAAGCGTTGTTTCCCCGGCCCAGCCATCGCAATAAGCCAGGAAAGGATGGTGGATTACTTCTTTCGCGAAGCGCTCGCCCAGTTGCTAACGCGTTTGGATGTCGACACACCACAGGAAGCATGGCCAGTGGTATCAAAAGCACAGTCGCAGTCCATCGAGGTTCGAGACACGGTTCATCCAAAATTCGTTATAGAGATGCTTACCGGTATCCTCCGCGGTATTGGACAGTCGTTTGACGTGCTTCGTATTTACAAGCACACACGCGATGATGTCTTGTGGAATAGGGCACTCAAACCTTGGCGTAGGTCCCCCCTCTGGCTGCTGCTTCGCGTTGCACTGCAGACCAGCCTTGCAACGCGCGAAGACGGTGATCATATGTGGTACAAATCATTCATGGTCTTTTTCATGGCTCGCATCCTGCAGCGGTCTTTGCAGGCTTCTCTGCCGAGCGATCTGCTCTTTATAATGGCGGCAAAGATTAGTCGCCGGACACTAAAACTCGCTCTGGGAGATGAACCGTCATGGATGCAGGATATCCACAGCTCGATTGAAGCTTCCCATCGAGAACTGGCTACTAGATGGAGCAGTATAGAGCAGAATCCGGATCCTTTCAGGACACAAGAAGGCTGGAACTCCTCAGCAATGTCTTTCTGTCAAGATACTGGGTTGAGTCTTTTAAAGCTGCGTCCGTATCTGCAGACTATCGCAACCCGTAAGACAGCGCCAGGAGGCCATGACAATTTTACGTCTGGCTGCCGCCAACGCATCAAGCAGTGCAGCTCAAGCTTTCCGGAACTCGACCACTTAGAGGTAGAGGTTGACACACGTCTAGGCCTCGCAGATCTGGAACTGTGGGTGCAAGACTGCCTTGCCGGCTGGCTGGATGTGAATCTGGACTCCCAACATGCCTGCACGCTTCTGGCTGAGTTGATCGAAAAGTACACGAAAGTTGCGGGTTCTACTTATGCAGGCAATCCGGAAGCCCTCTCATTAATGTTACTTACTTCGATGGATCTTTGGGTCGCCCTAGATAAGTGTGCTATTCGTCATTACCCCCTATTGCGCAAATATAACCCAGAGTTTCCGCCATCACTATTCGATCCATTGTTGCTACCCAAGAGGCCTCAAATGGAGCGGCTGAGCAGCGTGGAGCAGTATCTGCGTCAGAGAAGGAATCAGGCGACACCAGGATTTCCCTCCATCTTCCACGGTGTCAACACGACAACAAGTTTTGCTGTTCAATACTTTGAACAGTCCCATCGCCATCAAGTGTTGCGCCAGAGAATTGAGCTTGCAGCCCAGGCAGAACGGGATCGCAAAAGGAGCGAATTAGGGAAAATGCGTCAGAAATATCAAGAGCTCATGCGGGATTCTAATGCCAGGACTTGCGATTATGAGAGACATTGGGAGCGACACCGTCAAGTGTCTCGACACAGCCCCAATTGCCAAAAATGCCAGTTGAAGTCGACTGCCAACAGTCTCCAGATCACCGTTCACGAGTGGCCACTTCCACTGGGAGAATTGGCGGTGAAGACAGCTGTGTTCGAGCTCGAAGTGCCAACGCCGATAGCCAAATGGCGAGATGCAACGTACGGTCTCCTTGTCGATATTTTCTCACCAGCTCAACCCCGCTCCCAGCGAAGCAGCAAGGAGAAAGTATACTGCATGAATGACTTTAATGGCTTAAAGAAATACTTCAAATCTCAACCTGCAAGACTCCAGCTGGCATCCACAGCGAAGCCGTTCATTGTGGCGCATTACGGCAGCAAGTCTGTGCCCCAGGCCACAGAAGAGAGTATTTGTGTGAATAATGGTCTGGTTTATTCGATGTATGATTCGAAGTCGAGACAGTGGACGAAAGATCTGCTTGGTCGATGCGATGTCCAGAGAATTTGTACGTTCCAGCTCCCGCCTGGACCGTATCGGAAGCTGCAGTTCGCACTAGATGGGACAACACACACATCTAATGAAGTTCTTGCTAAGCAGTCTGAGTGTCCGAGGTCGCTAAATCTTCATGAGTTCTACGCTTTTGCAACTTTGCGATCTGGGAATCGGCTTCAATGGCGCAATATGGCGCGTGAGCTTGTCCCTCGTGTCCTTACCTTTAGCTCTGAAGAGACGTACATGTTGGTAGTTCAGGCGGCCTGGCAGGTTGGCCCGTCTGGAGGAGGGCAGCCTTGTCGAGAGTCGCACATAGATTTGGAAGAAGAAGAATTCGGAATGTCACTCCTATTGGTGCTGGAGGAAGCCCTTGGGGCCGTCGAAGGGAATTGGCAAGGCGCGGGAGCAGTTCGCACTTTCATCGCTCTCGCAGCTCGACTGCTCTCCCTGTCCCCATTTGGAAAGGTCCACAATCGGTGCTTCCTCCTCCTGAGGCGAGCACGTGAAGTGACATTGCGGTGGACTCGAGAAGTGGGTCGGCTCCTTCATGGGAGTGAAGACGCAGAGGAATCAAAGACCCTAAATATCCGAGTTCTCGAAATGGCCTTGACTTGCCATGGCACTTTCAATGTCGATCGATGTCACGTCTCGGAAATGTTGAGTTCAGTCGAGGACATCGCAGCCATTACCGAATGCTCTATCACTGTGCACGATCGTTGCCCCGCCGTGACAGAAAACCTGCCACAAGCTGTAAAAACTCTGCTGCAAGGGTTCATGAGGCTCTCTCAGCTCTTAGAACCAGCTCTCCGGGAAAGAATTCTGACAGATCGGCGAAGCATCGATCCCACGGTGCATCAACTCTGGGCGGGATATCGTCCAGGGAGTCTTTGGACAGCCTTGAAAAGCCCAAGCCAAAGGTGGCTAGTGACTCGAACAACTAGTGAAGGAGGCTACTCTCCGGTAAGTGTACACTACAACACCTTGGATGGAAGCCTGCTGGTCAAAGGCATACCTCTCGCGAGGCTCCCTCGGCCTTATGAGTTCCATACAACCTACTGTCGACTTTTCGGCGAGGTATGATATTTGCACTTGCAATTGCATGCCGTAGAGCTTACCTTTATAACCCAATAGAAAGTTCTAGATGTCGTCCCATCCACGATGAGTGGAATGGATTTCGAGACGCGGAATGAGCTTTGCGGTCAGCAGGTACTTCGGAATCCCTTCCATCCCTGGCGTCCTAGAAGCAGAGGTACTGATTTCATTTTAGGTTCACTTTGCAATGTACGGTTCAGAGCTCATTATCCGGACTCGAAGACAAGAGCAAGTCTGTGAGGTGCTTCCCTTGCACTCGTTGCAGGGTGATTTCCCGCGGGCTCTCGTGCAAGACTACGCACATTGGTTTGAAGTAAGCACCGGATCGGTTGAGTGGCGCCCGTTGACGCGTATGTGGATACATTCGCCAGACAATTGGCAGATGCGGGCTGATAATCACGGGATGTTCGTTCTGAGCCACGGCACAAAAGCACTTGTAGACCTTCGCAGTCCCACGGCCAAAAGCATCTCACGCGTCCTAAGCCCGCTGGAACATGCAACCCATATCCATATAATCCTGAACCACGAAACGGGAGCGCTAGAGGTACAGTTACCGCGATTAAAGCTTGACTTTCATCTAAAGGGTTGCGGAAGCTTGCTTGAGTCGAAGCAATTCCGGGGAACGGTGGTGGACGAACGGCAGTCTTTTGGTACATTGACGGGGCTGGTGAACAAGCTTGTTTTGCGTGAGATTGAAAGGCCTTCTCGGTCCGTTATTATCCCACACGGCAAGGTCTCCTTCCTGCCAGATGGCTATCACGTCCGGGTTATGATTGATACAGCTGCTGCCATTCACGTCAAGTATCACTCCTACTCCATTGATAGTCAACTCGGACGACTCGTCGACAACGGTAGCCTTCAGAGCAGACTCTTCCGGTTATATCTCCACGCAACAACGGCACACTGTCTGATCGATCAGCTCACTGGGAGGACAGGCACCGAGGAAGCGCTCGATGGTCTCGCAGGCGCAGCCACTCGATCTTTTGTCAAGCTCGAACCTGCGGATGTTGAGCTTCTGGAAATGCTTACGCGGTTAACTCCGCGGCGTCAGTACTACCCAGATTATCTGCGGGTGATGCAGCAAGTGGAGTGGGAGAAGCTGTCTCCCCTCTCTCAGCATTGCGCTTTCTATCAACAAGTGAGATCAGTCTTGAATCAAGCCAAGTTGTTTCATGTCTTCCAGGAACAACCCGCACAGCTGCTTATTTCGGATACAAGCGGCGAGCAAGACCTGCTTGAAAGGGCTGCTATTCGCGATTCTTCGTTCCAAGTGCATGGCTTCGGTGCAGAGTCTTATACGACGGACTACGACATCGTCTACGCCTCCCGAGATCAGGTCCTTGATAGCACCCGAGAACTTCAAACTTGTCGCACTGCGAAGCTTGTCGATGACTGGTCTACGAACCTCGTGGTCCACTCGCAATTACTCTCCGAGGTAGAATCGTGGGGTGAACCGATCCGTGGCCCTGGATATGAAGATGACTTAACAGTGGGCTTCGACCTCAAATGGCTCGATGCTCCAGCCGAATTTCTTCCCGACCACTTGTGCACCCTCCAGCACATATTCTCCCGGAGCGTGGTTAAATGGGACAAGTACAAGATTATGATCTTGCTGTCAACTTTATCGTACTCAAGACACGCAAAGCAGGAACTTGTTCAGACCCTCCTGGCCTTTGCGACCACCCCTAGACTTCGCGCTCTACAGCCACCTAGCTATGCAGTGTTTCAGCTTTCGGAGGGCTACAGGCCAGTGCGAGAAACATTAGTTAGCGTGGCAGAAGGACACGTCCGGCAATTTTACGAATGCCCTGAGTGCAACTTGCCAAGACTTCCTGATGAGGATTACTACCTGGCCGATGAGCGCCGAAGGGATCAACATTGCATAGCGAAGGAGGAGCAGATCAGAATGTTTGTGAATGATCTTATATTGCAGTGGCCTGAAGCCGATATCTCTACTCCTTCAGACGTCAATCACAGCACATACATCTCGGTGGACGCGGCAACTAGAAGTGCGCGTACCTGCTTCCAGAGCTGGCACCGGAATGCCCACTTCAAAGAATACATCGAGCAGGCACAAATTACCCTGAGCGCGTTACCTACTTGGCATAAAAACCTGGAGGGGTATTCCTTTTCCTTGCCTTTTAATGGGTACATTTCTAGGCGAGCACATGTTACTTTCGACGACCTCACAAGAAATCCTGCTCCGGGTCTCCCTCCTGCCGATAAAGGGGCCTTTGATACATGGATTTTCTGTGACGACAAAGGAAATGCCGATCATAGCAAACTCAAACAGCTACTGGCTCGTGTTTCTTCTCGATGCTCCTCTGGCCATGAAGAGCGATACGCCGGAGATCTGCTCAAGAGTTTTGAAGCGTTGGGTGAAGAGACATCCGTGGAGCTGAAACCACCAGCGGGGTTATCTAGGCGGTTGAGATCATATTTGAAGCAAGCTCAGCGCCATGTAGATGACGTCTATGGGACGATTTGTAGCCATTTGCAGACTGGCAGTTGGAATACCGTCAGGGAGGCACGCATGCTGCCACGCGTATCCAAAACCTCGATCCTCTCACACTTGGCAAGCGACAAGGTAGACGCTCTCCCACCACTCTGGAAAATGTCAATTGTACAGTACGGACTCGCAATTACAACCCTTCAACGTGCAGAGCGTCTTCTTGCGTCTGCTGGTAACATGGCTGAGCTCTTAGGCGAACTCAAGAATCCTGGCCATCGAGACTGGGATCCGCTGGACTTCCCTCAATGGCTCCTTCTGGAAATCGAAAACAACATCTTGATACGTCAGGACCAAGCTCAGATTTCGCGAGAAATGATGTCGCCATCTTCGGGATCGAATTCTGTCATGCAGCTAAATATGGGGTTGGGGAAGTCGTCTGTTATCGTTCCCATAGCTGCCGCAGCTCTCGCAGACAAGACACAGCTTGTTAGGATTGTCGTTCTCAAACCCCTGGCAATGCAGATGTTCCAGTTATTGAGGAAGAAGCTTGGTGGCCTGCTGAACCGGCGCGTCTTCTACATGCCAATCTCGCGGTCTCTGAACTTGGATATACCCCAAGCGCTTCAGATCCGTGATTTGCTCGAAGAGTGCATGCGTGCCGGTGGCATAATTCTCGTACAGCCAGAACATATCCTCTCCTTCGAGCTGATGGGTTTCGAACGACTCCTGTCTGGCAACTCAGAACTGGGCAACATCTTGATTCGGACACAAGAGTGGCTCCGAGAACATTCGCGTGACATCCTCGACGAGAGCGACGAGATCCTAAGTGTGCGATTCGAGCTGATCTACACAATGGGAATGCAACGCGCTATTGAGTTCAGTCCAGATCGTTGGGCCATCATCCAGTACGTCCTAAGGCTCTTAGGCCGCTGTGCGCACCAGGTACTTGACTTGTTCCCCCATGGCTTGGAAGTGATCCTCGCACAGCCTGGGAGCTTCCCCAGAGTCCGAATCCTCGAGGCCCGAGCCGGTGATGTACTACTAAGAATGGTGGCGCGTCAGGTATGTGATAATGGCGTCCCTGGTCTGCCTGTATGGAGCCTTCCCCGGAGCATTCGAAGTGCTTTATTCGAATTTCTCATCGACCCGACGTGGAGCGCAACTGCCACACAATCGCTACAGAAATTCGCAGCAGGTTCGGAGCCAGTGGAGAAAGGCCTCCTTCTTTTGAAGGGCCTATTCGCTATAGGGGTCCTCAAGTTTTGCCTGGCGCAAAAACGGTGGCGCGTCCACTATGGTCTTGATCCTTCGCGGACAATGCTTGCAGTTCCATATCATGCAAAGGATAGTCCAGCACCACGAGCCGAGTTCAGTCACCCTGATGCTACTATTGTTCTGACTTGCCTATCGTACTATTACGGTGGTCTCTCAGACCAACAGATACATGCTAGTTTTGAAGCGCTACTACAGTCCGACCACGCCGCAGAAGAATACGCATATTGGGTGCAAGATGCTCCACAGCTTCCGATGGCATTTAGGCAATTACCTGGGATTAACCTCAGCAATACGGGGCAGTGCTGCCGAGAAGTGTTTCCGCCATTACGATTCGCCATAAGGGTCGTCAATTTCTACATGTCAAACATTGTTTTCCCGACAGAGATGAAGGAGTTTCCTCACAAGCTGTCGTCATCCGGCTGGGACATCGCGCGAGAAAAGGGACATCCCACTACGGGCTTTAGCGGAACGAATGACAGTAGATATATCTTGCCATTATCCATTAGCCAGTGTGATCTACCGCCGCAGCTCTCGACAAACGCCGCAGTACTGGATTGCCTACTAAGGCGTGAGAATTCTGTCGTAGATATCTGTCAGGCTTCTGGCACAGGAGCTCTCGACGCCGAAGTGCTGGTAAGGATGGCTTCGACATTAGATCCTCCGGTCCGCGTCATCCTCGATGTTGGGGCGCAGGTGCTAGAGCTCCAGAACGAGGAGATGGCTCGTATATGGCTCTCAAGCGTGCCCGATTCCGGAGCGCAGGCAGCAATATTCTTTAATGTCCGTAACGATATTTGCGTCTTGAGCCGTGATGGAACGTCGGAGCCGTTACAGGTATCGCCCTTCTCAAAGCAACTGGACCAATGCCTGGTTTACCTTGACGAAGCCCACACGAGAGGGACAGACCTCAGAATGCCGGAGAACTATCGAGCCATCGTGACGCTGGGCCCTGGTCTTACCAAGGACCGACTCGTGCAAGGTAACTCCAGATAGCAGAATTCCTCGTTTCACGCTGATTGTTGATAGCTTGTATGCGGATGCGAAAACTCGGGAAGGGGCAGTCTGTCGTATTTTGCAGCTCGATGGAGGTTCACCGGCAGATCCTTGAATCCAGTGGCAGAAGCCACGGCATAATTGAGGTAGCCGATGTATTGCAATGGTGCATCGCAGGCACCTGCTCCCACGCGAGGAAAAGCATCGCGTTATGGGCAACACAGGGGTTGCGACACCAGCGCCGCCATGCAGCATGCTCACTGCCATTGGTAAACGCAGAGGGGCGGGTTTCGGGATACCTAGCTAAATACCTGCTTGAGAGAGAGGCGCAAAGTCTTCAAGAGAGATACGGGAATGGGGGGCCACAGCATGAGGAGCAGATCCTATTGCATAACGTGATGGAGGAACCACTCATGGGACGTAAGCAACAACTGGCGGACATCCGAGTCAAGTGCCGAGAATTTGATATTGCATCGTTCAATACGGCAGCTCTGCATGAGGAACAGGAGCGAGAGCTCTCTCCAGAGAACGAACGGGAGCAGCAGGTTGAGCTCCCAGCAGCGTTAACACCTCGGATACACTACGTCCATCCTGATGTCCGGCTCTTTATTAGACATGGTGTCTTTGAGCGGTCTTCGGACGCTTTTCGACCGGCTTTTGATACTCTTCGCAACACCACTGCACTCAACTACTACGAATCAACATGGCCAGAAGATTTAGTTGTCACAACAGACTTCGCCCAAACAGTTCAAGCTTCGGATGAACAACTCCTAGATTCTTATTTAAGGCCGGTTCATTGGATGGTAAGCTGCAAAAGCGGAGATACGATCAATTATGTGGTGCTGAGCCCGCTCGAGGCTCACGAACTCCTGCCCTGTATTCGCAAGCACCAGCACGTGATCTTGCACGTGTATTCCCCACGCCTCAATGTTTCTGCGCGGACGTTGGAGGACCTCTCCTTTTGCGCTATTCCGGCCATCCCCGAATCCTGGTCAGCCCCCCATATCGTTAGACAGCTCAATCTATTCGCCGGTCAGCTGTACATTAGAAATTATGATGAGTATGTATTACTGTGTGGCTTCTTGGGACTCTGCTCTGAACCCCCGGATGATCATATTAAGGTCGCACGAGATGGGTTCATCAGCCCACAGGACAGAGCCCTGTCGAACTCTGTCATGCTCCGAGAGTGTCCATTCACAACCAGCCCGGTAGCCTTTTTGAGGATGATCATGGCCTTAAGGAGAAAAGGGCAGAGTTTTGTGATGTCTCACTTTGGTATGATTCTCAATGGCGAATTGATCGCGAGGGAGCAATTTTAGGGTGACTCTCATCGGATGACCTTCCGTTGTGGCTTGTTTTTATCCATCCGGAACTCTTTGCTCATCACAATCAATATCAAATATGATTATGTTCTCAATTAACCTTTCGACAATGCTCCTATACACCTGCTATTATGGTGAGTCACTTTCTCGACTGCATTACCATCTGCGGGTTGTATCTCGTCACCACAAATCTATATTTGCGTTCTTCTGCAAGAATTCCTGGCACTCTTTTGAGCCGGAGTTCCAACTCGCGATTATCCATGACTGGTGCAATTTTGAGACCAGTACACAAGTCTGCAGTAATTGTATATTCGAGCTGGACAATTGAGCTGTATCTCTTTCTCCAGCAATTCTGGATGACTTCGCCAAGAATCATGTTATGTGTGGATGGAAATTCAAATGTCACGACACCACAAGTAGAAGAAATCTCTGAATATTTTCGGGCTCAACTTGCAATAGCACCCCTAGCTGTATTGCGTTGAAGATCTGGGTCTTCCAGAGATCGACGGGCGATCGTCACGTCAGCAAACACCTTTCACTCGAGGGAAGCAAGATTTTGAAGGAAAGAAAGTAACGAATATGTATATTCGCGCCATAGGCAATTAGATACAAGTTCAAGTTTTGCTGCCCAGTGTGGGAAATGAGTAGAGTAGAGTAGAGTAGTGGGGCCTACTCATATTCTACTCAAATAAATTTCTCACTACTCATACTCTACTCAATACTCTACTCAACTACTCTAGAATATTCTAGAGTAGTTGAGTAGTATGCACGTGATACTCCACGTGATGTTACACGTGACACACTAGCCTAATTAGGTAAGGCTCCGGGGTAGCCCGAGTCTAGCGCTACTGCACTGCCCAATTAAGTAGTGGCAAGGCTTAGTAAGCAAGCTAGAACCTTAATATATTCATAGGCTTCCTTAGCTATTAAGGGCAAACTCTTCTCTCAAGGTACTCTTATTATTTAAATTATATAATAGACTTAATAAGAGTACTATTAAGATAATATCTTACTTAAAAAGCTGGGGGTTATTTAAAGACGAATTAGAAGAAGTAAAAGGAGAAGAAAAAAAGCAGGAAAAGAAAGATTTCGAGGAGGGAAATCTGGTTTTTATAAAAGAAAAGTGGTATTTAAGTAGCCTTATATAAGCTCTAGCTAAAATTATATAGTGCTACTTAATATGTACCTTATTTATTTATTAATAATTAAATAAATATCGATTTATTATATTTACGTGACTTGCACGTGACTACTCTTGAGTTACTCTAGAGTAGTACTCTACTCTACTCTACTCAAGTACCATATTACGCTACTCAAACTCTACTCTACTCTACTCAAGACTACTCTAGAGTAGCTTGAGTAGCTTGAGTAGTTTTTGCCCACACTGTTGCTGCCTCATACCTTATATTGAGCACCATTTTCAAATCCCGGCTGCCCACCGAATCCGAGTCTCAGTTATTTTGGTACTGCCCCTATTAAGATTTTCCCGGGCCTCCTTAAGAGTATCTTGTCGCGTAATCGGTACATATCTTTGCGTAATATTAGTTTCCGCCGGCAAATGATCTTAACAAGTATTATCTGTCTTTCCTACTTGTTTTTTTATGCTTGTTATCTTACCCGTACTTTAGCAAAATTTTATAGCGGGATTTGGTGGGGTAACTTTTGGTTTTCCGCCCGGAGTGATCACGTAAAAGTAAATCCTTTACTATCCCCCCCCTTGAATACTTATAGTGGGTCCAATATTCGCCACCATCTCCACACCCACATCACTCCACTAAAGACACGCAATTGAGTCTTCACCGCTTTCCAGTTCAATTGAAGCTATTCCCACTTTCTTCTCTACTTTATAGTCTATACCTTAGTACTTTGTAGGCCCACCATGAGCTTCCTTTACAGCCTTATAGCGTCTCCACCAGCTATTATATAACCCCTGGATATACTTGTCTGGTACTGTGTCCCACGCATCTTGTATAATCTTGCAAAGTTAATCCAAGTGGATCTTATCCGGCTAGTAGCGTACTTCCCAATAGTGCTCCTCTATTCAATTATTTATCCAATTCCATATATGCTCAATAAGATTCAAGTCCGGTAAGTATCAAGGAGCTTGAATTATAGAAATATGGCAAAGGAGCAAGTTTAGTTTTATCTCGCAAGCAATAAGAAGAAGCATTATCTTGCCAAAACCTATACCGGCTAAGTGAGTGGTCACAAAAGAACTGCTCTATTATTAAGAGGATTTTGTAATTATATTATATGGAATTAATCGAGCCCCACTTCTTCTCCTAAAAGAGAAAGGGCCCCTTCTTCCCATTAACTATACTTCCCCAGAATATCCATGCAGAAAGCTTGGAGTACTTGTGCCTTATATACTCAGGAAATAAGCGATCGTTTCTATCCTTTAAGCAGGTAATATATGAGCTCGTATAAGCTTCACCAAATGCCTATACCTTATCCGTAAAGCAGACCTGCTATACGCATGAGTATGGCCATATACTTCCGTTCTCTACTAAGTCTAGCCTCTCCTGGCAGACTTTAGGATCATCTGAGAACCCCTTCTTTCGTAATATACGGCAACAGTAATTAATACTGTTTATAGCTATGCGAATAGCCTGCTTATCCCCTAATTGGGGAAGGAAGTGTGGGATCTTTGAGTATGCCACATAATAATAATAATAAGAAGAAAGTAACCATTTCTTAAGCTCTATTTTCTCAGGAGTATAAAGCTTTGCGTGTTTCTCTGCTCTCGTTTTTTGTGAAGTAAGGCAATAGTGCTTTATATAGTAGATTTGGTTATCAGTAATATCCGGAGTCTCCTTTATTTGAGGCAGTAATATCTTGAAAAGGAGAGCTATTTGGATTTGGAGACGCTTATTATATATATAATCGGTTCTTCGCTAATCGGACAAGGTATTACTCCCTTGAGAGAACTCTTGAGAGGAATCTGCTTGAGAGTCGGAAATAAAGAGAGGAGATAGTATAGACTCAAGAGAGTCTGGAAGAAGGTCACATAAGTCCCAAGACTAAGTACTAGGCTATAATTCGTGAATTTGAGGCCTAGGGCCATTGCGAAAGTCCCATAACTATATAGTCTTTTGCAAATCAGGGGGAGAGAGAGGAAGAGAGCGAAGCTATATAGATAGTGGAGTATCTACGTTATAGAGGTTACTATAATAAGGTAGTATTATAGTAAAGCGTGAATCTTGTAAATCCATTAAAAAATTGAGGATATACCTTAAAGCAAGTAAAGTATAGCCAGTAAAAGCTATATATTCTGCCATATTTATAATATAGCTATGCAGGCAAGCTAGAAGCTTCTCCGCACTCTGATTGGCTAGAAATAGGGTGAGAGGTAGTATGAGTAAAGCATGAGAGTGTGGCGAATATTGGACCCACTATAAGTATTCAAGGGGGGGAATAGTATTATTTCGCTGCTTGGTGCCTGAGGAATGAGGTAATAAAAATTTTGCAAAGTTGGCGCATTACTAAGCTCGGTTAGCCCTTTTAAGCCCGATCTTCTTATTATAAATTAGTACTTTACTTTAAATAACTAAATACAATACCTTATTACTTTTTATTTTATAATAATTAATAGCTCTTAAAAAGGCAATAAAAGAAATTTAAAAGCTTTAAGCTAAATATTAAGTTACAAATGCCCTAAATACTTGAAATAAGTCTAATATAACTAATATTTATAAATTTTTACTAAATTCAAAGATTCTTATATAATATAAAAGAAATACTAATTAATTTAGTAATAAAAAGAAATTATATAAACTTATAGCTATAAATAAAGAGTTTTATATACTAGTTTTATTTTATAATAATATAACTTTTTATTTAATATTTATAAAACTTTTTTATATATTAAATACATAAGTTAATACTAATAATTCTAAATATAACCTCGAATTATATTATAATAAAAGTAATAATAAAAGTAAAAGAAAAAGTAATATAAATACTTTTTTATTCTTTAATTTCTTAAAATATAATAAAGAATAATTTTATAAGAATTCTAATATTATAATATTTTTATAAAATAATATTTAATATAAAAACTCTTATTAAATTAAAGTTATTAGCTTCTTAAAAAATAATATATTTAAATTTATTTTTAAATCTTAAATACTAAAAGAAATATATATCTTTAATTCTAGATTTATTAATAAAATTAAGAATAAAGATATTAAAAAAAGCTAAAAGAAAATCAAACTCGTTATTTAAGCTTATAATAATAAAGAAAAGTATATTATATTAATATAATTACTAATTATTTAATATATTAACTAAAGAATTATTCTTAATATTATTATTATAATAATAGAAATAATAGAATTATATTTATAAGAAATCTTATAAGCTTATATTTAATTAATAATTTTATTTAATTATAATTTTTATATTAACTTATACTTTTTATCTTTTTTATAATAAGTAATTCTTTAATATTATTAGCCTTTAAACTAATAATACTTTATTTATTAAAAATAATAATTTTACTAAAATAAAGTAATTAAAGCTTTAAAAAGCTAAGTTTTTAACTAAGAAATATAAATACTCTACTTTTAATTATAATCTTAATTTAAATAAAAGTATTATTTATATAAAAGCTATTAGAATTACTTTTATATAAAAATACTAATATAAAAACTTTAGAATTATATTAGTTAAAAATATTATATATTAGAGCCTTTTTATTAAAAACTAATATATATTATATTCGTTTATTAACTAGAGGCTTTATATAATTTATTAATTATTATTTAAGTTATTATATTATTAGAAACTAATATAAAAGTATTTAATAAATATATTTAAAAATAAATTAAAAATATTATTAAAGAATTACATTTTATAAAACTAAAGAAAAAGTCTTTATAAATACTTTATTTATAAATAAAAAGATTTCTTTTTTTAAATTAAATATATTTTAGTTTTAATAAATAATATTAAATATATTAATATTATTTACTAGTTCTTTACTAAATATAAGGAAGTTACTAGAAGTATTTTAGTTTTAAAATTATTAAATATAGCTTATAACTTTAATATAAGTACATTAATTAAATCTATAATTAATAAAATACTAGAAATAAATTTATTATTAATTATTTATATAAATTCGAAATCGCTATATAAATGCCTTATTAAATTAAGTATTATTTAAAAGAAATACCTAATAATTAATATAATATACTTTTACTAAATATATAAATAATAAAAGATTATAATAGTTAAGTAAATTAAGGGAAACTTGAATTCTATTAATTTTATAATAAAATTAAAGCTATTAAATATTTTTAAGTATTTAATTAATATAAATATAATATAATTAAATATAAAGAAATAAATTAAATATATTTAATAAAAAGAAATAAAAATATATAAAGTATTTAGGAAGTTTGAAACTAGGCCGAATTAGGAAATTAGTATATAATTAGATAAAAACATTATTTTTAATAATTTTAAAAAGGTTCTAATATTAATATAATTATAATTATAGTTATAACTAATATTTTAAGAATTATATAATTTTATATTATATATATAACTCAATTAATAAACTAGTTCTAATTAGATATAATAAATTTAGAAAAAGTATATTAATATTATAATATTAATTATTTTACTAAATAAATATAACTAGTATTTTATAATTATATAATAAACTAATAATAAAAGAAATACTTAATAATTGATATAATATATTTTTATTAAATATATAAATAATAAGAAATTATAAAAGTTAAATAAATTAAAAAAAACTCGAATTTTATTAATTATTAGTTTACTAGTAATATATAATATATAATATATAATATAATATAATATATAATATTTAGTATATAAAGTTAATAAAGTAGTTAATATTTTAAAGTAAAAATTATAGAATTATAGTATTAATATATAATTTCTAAATCTATTAAATCTAATAAAAACTAATTTACTAGTTGAGTTATATATATAATATAAGGTTATATAATATATAATAAAATAGCTATAGCTATTTAGATATTAATTCTATAATAAAATTAATATTCTTAAATACTTTTAAATATTTAATTAATATAAAAGAAATATAAAGAAATATATTAAATATTTAAGAGATTTAAAACTTGGCCAAATTAGAAAATTAATATATAATTAAAAAAAGATATTATTTTTAGTATTTTTAAAGAAATTCTAATATTAATATAATTATAATTATAACTATTATTTTAAAAGTTATATAATTTTATATTATATATATAATTAAATTAGTAAACTAGTTCTAATTAAGCTTAGTAAATTTAGAAAAAATATACTAATAGAAATAAAATAATAAATAAAAATATAAAGATTTAAATTTTTAATATTTTAAGAATTTAAGAATTTAAAACTAAAGAAAAAAGAAATAAGATATAATAAATAAATAAATATAACTAAAATTATTAAAATATTAAGCTTAATTTAAATTTTAGCTTAAAATTTTAGCTAAAATCAAATTTATATTAATTAAATAATACTAGTTATTATATTATTTTCTTTTTTTAAAAGCTTAATTTGAGTATTAATAAATAAATAAAAAAAGCTAAAGTAAATATAAAAAAAATAAAAAAATAAAAAAAAAGATTTTTAGTTTTGTTTTATTTTCTAATAATTTACTTTATTTAATCTAGCTTTAATAAGGGTATTAGTATAGCTATAATTATTTATAGTTATATAATATAATTATATAATATAGAAGTAATTAGAAGTAATAGGATATAAATAATAAGTAATAATTATATAATCTTATTATTAGTATAGCTATTCTTTTGGGAGTTACGTATATAGTTATGGGATACGGGATATAGGATATAAGTAATAGGATATAAGTAATAAGATATAAAATATAAGATATAATTATATAACCTTATATCTTATTAATAACTCGACTAGTAGACTAGATCCCTTTAGGCTTAGCAGATTTAGGAATTATATATTAATACTATAATACTATAATTCCTATTTCTAAATAATAATAATTTTACTAATTATATATAAATAGCATTTCACGACTTATATAATAGTATTATATATTATTAGTAAATTAATATTAATTAGTTTATATATATAGATTAGAGAATAGAATCTTTTGAGCTAAAGAAGTATCCGGTAGCCTATAGCAAAATTGAACTAGTTTATATTAAAGGAAGGAATTACCTATTAACTTTATAAAGTATTTAATAGCCTAAGAAAGAAAATAGCTAGCTCTTACTAAGGACTAATAATTACTCTATTAAAGAGGGGAATTACTTATTAACTTTATAAAGTATCCGGTGGCCTAAAGAAGAAAACTCTAATTCTTATTAATTAATAAGCGGTTAGTTATTTGGCTATTTATTTATTTAATTATTTATTATTCTTTAAAACTAACTTTTTTTAGCCTTAAAATTACTTTCTTAGAACTTATCTTTTCTATTTATATAATACTTATATTTATAAGATACTTTTTCCGGAATATATATTCTATATATATTCTTAAAGCTCTTTAATTACTACTTTAATTTTATTATTAAATTAAGTTCTTTAAACTTTAGACCCTTCCGGAATTATAATATTTTACTTCCTAAATTTCTTATTATAAACGAAATATTTAAAGGCAAAATATTTATTTTAATACCTATAATATTTCTAGATATCTGGGATATCTAGTATCTAAACCAGGTATCTAGATATCTTTATTACTAAACCCTTTCTATAAACTTACTATAAACTACCTTACTTTTAAACCTCTCTTATTATAAATTATATATATATTAAAAAGGGCTTAATTCTAGGGATTTAGTATAATAGAACTATAAGATAAATATATATAAATAAAGAAATAGAAAGGCAGTATTAACCTAATTACCTATAGTAA